TCATATCAACTCCAGCCTCCCAAATTGCCTTGACCTTTACAATCAGCCTACTGGTGCAGCAGGTCCATGTCAGAAGCCGTCTCCCTGGCCCTACATTTATCCCTGGAACAACGAGAAAACAAAGATACCTTCGTCAGGCTTCTACTCATTCCAATCTCAGGTGACTGTCTGCGTGGAGCTTGCACGTTCTCCCCGTGTCAGCATGGGTTTCTGCCGAGCGCTCCGGTTTCCCCCACAGTCCAAAGATGAGCAAGTTAGTTGGATTGGCCATGCTTAATTGCCCATAGTTTTCAGGGAGGTGTAAGTTAGAGGCATTAGCCATGGGAAATGCAGAGTTACAGGGATAGGGTAGGGGGATGAGTCTGGGTGGGATGAATCTTCGGAGGGTCGGTGAGGACTTGTTGGGCTGAATGTCCTATTTCCACTGTGTGGGGATTCTGTGATTCTACGACCGCAGCTCCGCCTTCAACGTCATTATTCCAAACCGACTTATCTCTAAACTCCGATAGCTAGGTCTCAGTTTCTCCTATCTGTAACTGCATCCTCAACTACCTGACCATAGACCAGAATCAGTTAGAATAGGCAACAACACCTCCTCCACCTTAACCCTCAGTACAGGTGCCCCGCAAGGCTGCAAACCAAATCCCCTACTCCTTACACATCTCGACTGGGTGGGCAAATTCTGCCCCATCTCCATTTACAAGTTTGCTGATGACACCACCGTTGTAGGTTGGATCTCAAACAACGAGACAGGATACAGGAAAGAGATCGAGTGCTTAGCGGCATGGTGTAAAGGCACTAATCTCTCCATTGATGCCAGCAAAATGACGGAGCATTGACTTCAGGAAGCGGAGTGCAGTGCGTGTCCCTGTCTACATCAATCATGCTGAGGTGGAGATGGTCAAGTGCATCAAGTTTCTGGGAGTGATGATCACCAACAATCTGTCCTGGTCCACCCATGTTGATGTGACGGTCAAGAAGCACAACAATACCACTAATTCCTCAGGAGGCTAAGGAAATTCAGGATGTCCACAAAGGCTCTTATTAATTTTTATAGATGCACCGTAGAAAGCATCCTATCTGGATATAGCACAGCACGGTTTAGCAACTGCTTTTCCTAAAACCACAAGAAATTGTAGAGTTGTGAACACAGTCCCATCTGTCATGCAAACCAGCCTCCCATCCATTGAATTCATCTATACTTCCCGCTGCCTCTGGAAGCAACCAACGTAATCAAAAACCCCTCCCACTTTTGTTACACTGTCTTCCATCAGGCAGAAGATTTAAAAGTTTGAGTGCACATACGGACAGATTCAAAAACAGCTTCTTCCCCACTGTTATCAGAATTTTGAACAGACCTCTCTGTACCTTCTCTGTGGCTATAACATTGTATTCTGCACTCTGTTCTGTCACCCTAATGCACTTTATATGGTACAATCTGCCTGTACAGCATGTAAAACAACACTTTTCACTGTATCTTGGTACATGTGACAACAATAGTTTGTTTGTTTGTTTCAAACAAACGCCAGATAAGAAGGGTGATTTGAGCAAATCTACCCTTCATAAATATCACCACAAAACATAGCGGAGAGATTTGTGTTAACACATAAGGATTGGAATCAAAAAATTGCTTGGTCTGCTTTGGATATGACAGAGATGATGCAGATTTGAGGCCACAATTTGGCCATATGGTTTCAAACCCAATCTCCAAACTCAGATCCTGGTTCTGTTACACTTGTACTTTTTCAAAATATGCTGTTGCTTTTGCTTTTCCATTTATAATTTTATTTGCTTTTGCTCTGAAATTCCCATGAACCAATATTGAAGTCTTAAGAATGGTGAGTGACAAATAAAATTTAACACCTATTATAAGTTTGGCTGCTGTCTTCATGTGTTTATTTAGGCCTCTGACCAAATTCTGATAAAATTTTCCATGCGTGTGCATCTTTAATTCATCATATCTGCTGAAAGCTTTGTCACAGTGGTATGGATATTCACCATATTTGCAAACATAATTCTCCATTATTGGCAGATTTCTAGCCATCAAATCGTCTTCTTCCCTCCAAAAAGTACAGAGAGAGTCCCAAAGGCTTTAACACATTAGATCACATTTGAAAGTTCACTCATGGGTATGTATCAGGAGATTCTCTGCAGTAGGAAAGGCGTCTGATACAAAGCCTCACATATCTCACTCTGAAATGACCTTCCTTTCACGTGTGACTTTTTGAGGTTCTTGTAGAAACTTCTGTGACGATCCTTCAGGAATCACTCAGGGATTGTTCAAGACGACTAGAAAATGAAGAATGTAATACTCCTATTTAAGAAAGGCAGAAGACAGGAAACTATAGGCCGGTTAGCCTGACGTCTGTCATTGATTAGATTTTAAGAGTCCATTATTAAGGATGAGATTGTGGAGTACTTGGAAGTACATGATAAAATAGGGCTGAGTCAGCATAACTTCATCAAGGGGAGGTCATATATGACAAATCTGCTATAATTCTTTGAGGAGGTAATGAGCAAGTTAGACAAAGAACAGCCAGTGTACGTGATCTATTGGGATTTCTAGAAAGTCTTTGACAAGGTGCCACACAGGAGGCTGCTAAATACAAGCCCATGGTGTTCGGGCCAAGATACTGGCATGGATAGAGGATTGGCTGACTGACAGAAGGCAGAGAGTGGGGACAAAGGGATCTTTTTCAGGATGGCAGCTGGTGACTATTGGTTGGTGTCAGCATTGAGACCACAACTACTGACATTGTACATTAATGATCAGGATGAAGGAACTGAGGGTATTGTTGCTAAGTTTGCAGATGACATGGAGATAGGCAGAGGGGCAGGTAGTGTTGATGAAGCAGGGAGGCTGCAAAAGGACTTGGATATGCTAGGAGAATGGGCGAAGTGGCAGATAGAATACAATGTGGGAAACGGTGAAGTTATGCATTTTGGTAGGAAGAATAAAGGTATAGACTATTTTCTAAATGGGATAAGGCTTTAGAATTTTGAAGCACCAAGGTTCTTGGGAGTCCAAGGTTAGGATTCCCTTAAGGTTAACATGCAGATTCATTCGACATTTAGGAAGGCAAATGCAATGTTCGCATTCATTTCAAGTTGGTGGGAATACAACAGCAGATATGTACTGCTCAGGCTGTAAAAGGTTCTCGTCAGACCATATTTATAATATTGTGGTGGTTTTCAGCACCATCTCTAAGGAAGGATGTGCTGGCATTGATGGGGGTCCAGAGGAGGTTTACAAGTATGATTCCAGGGTTGAAGGGCTTGTATTATGAGGAGTGGTTGAGGACGCTGGGTCTGCACTCAATGCAGTTTAGTGGGATGAGGGGAGGGTCTGATTGAAATTACAGAATACTGAGAGGCCTGGATAGAGTGGACATCAAGAAGATGTTTTCGTGAGTAGGGGAGACTAGGATCTTGGGCCACAGCCTCAGAGTGAAGGGATGACACTTTTGAACTGAGATGAGGAGGATATTTCTTCAGTCAGAGAGTGGTTAATCTGTAGAATTTGTTGGCGCAGAAGACATTGGAGGCCAAGTCATTAAGTGTATTTAAGGTAGAAATAGATAGGTTCTTGATTGGTAAGGGGATCAAGGGTTAAAGGGAAGAAGGCAGGTGGGGTTGATAAACATATCAGCCATGATTGAACAGTAAAACAGGAAAAACACTGCGCCATATGTTAAAATAATAAAGTCTTTTTCTTTGGTGATCCACACACCCTTGAAAAATGCTTCCATTTGGAGCACAAGTAGCAGATTTTTTTTTCCCTTGAGTTGGACGTAGCATTGTAACTCACTGAGTATTTCCAGAGTTTGGGCACTGTTTGAGATTATCTGATCATGACTGGGCACATGTTGATGAGATCAATGAGGTCTCCTTCCCCTGCCCTTACACTTGAGCTGGTTGGGTTGTCTGTGTCTGTAACCCTGAGTCCAAGAGTCCATTCTGATTGAATTGCCAAGGCCATAGATTTTTCAAGGTCATCATCCTCCACGACATCTTCCCTAATCCGTGGAATTGAAATATCTTTAATTAATTGGTCACACATTTTTTTAGCTGAACGAGTTTTCATGTAGAAACTGATTGCAGTAATGCTGCCCCATGCTGCTTTAAAGACTCACCATTTCTGCGACATCTCTGTTGGAATGTATATTGTTCAGTCATCACATTTCTCTTTTGTTCAAAGTATTTTGCAAAAAGGCTAACTGCCTTATAAAATGTTGAGATATCTTCGACGAGCTGCTTGAATATTCACTGATCTCCTACTTAGTGATACGGTAGAAGTATTTGCTGGGTTATGGACCATTGCAACATCAGAACTGTCTATCACCATCATGACCCCCACATCTGTCACTGTCAGGATATTGTGGGGGGGGGGGGGGTTTCCTTGGGGGGGGGGGGTTCTCCTGGCAAAGAAATAAATGGTGCAGGGGGTTCCATAGATTTAAACTGTTCATAATTTTTACCATGTGTTGTGCTGGGATTGAACTACTGTATATCTTAAATATCTCAGACTAATAAAAAGATTGTTCTCAATTCAAATAGTTTAGAAACATCACTTCAACATCTTAGAAGTTTGAAGAACTTTCAATTACATGCGGTCAGAGAGCTAAGTGCAGCTTGTCTTAATTTCTAGCAGGAGTCAAATCATTTGACTTACTAGCTCCATCTACAGGCTAAATCAATCAAGCACTATAACAAAGACTTATGATCAGACAAGATTAATCAATCGTGATAAGTACATTGAAGACTGGTCAGCAAATGTTAGCGCTGAAAACAATTTAAGTGTGCCTTTTACAGCATGCCAACTGTTTGTACAAAATAAATCAATTCTGTCATCCAGAACTATATGCAGTTCCCTAGATGAGGCTTAAATAACGCTCTGTATTGTTCTAGCATCATCTCCTTGCTCGTAAAGATTATACTTCAGCAGGTAAAGTAAAATATCCTCTACTGCTTTTTAATCACATCCCATCGAAATGTCTTACGTTTGGAGAGACTTGTGAAATGAAATCCAAGGTCCCCCTGTTCTTTTCAATTCTCTTTGTTGCTCTTCCATTTTCTTTCCCAATCTTTAAAACCTATTGGTTGAGGAGATAGACTGTTGTTTCTATCATTCACGAAGATCCGAAATGCCTTATGGGCCCCATGGCTCTGCTAGAAACTCACAGTTCCAGAAAGCTCCAGGTTAAAGTGTGGCAGGGGGAAAAAAAAGTCAAACCACAAACAATGGTTCAAGATGCCTCGCTTCAGCAAGATTAGATCATATAATATTCAGAAAATGTTGGAAATAAACTGCTGATTTATCATCATTGATAAGTATATGAGTTTATTTTTTCTTATGCAGATGCTATTCACTTCTAACATTATCAATACTTCTATATCCTGTATGATATTTACAAATATAGGAATTTAGTTCATTCAGTTTCAGGACTTTGAAGTTAGTCTCTGCATCATTTAAAACCGCAGAGGTAATTTTCAAGTCCTGAACTGCTACTGGAAATCAAAAGTTCAGATGCATACCGTCAATATTACCTGTACACATCAGTACCTGTGCAAAAACAACTGTAATACAGTTTCTTTCACGGTTTCACGTAATTCAAGTCACAAATTCTTGGAAATGACTGGATATTGTAGACAGTACTAATTTGATAAAAATCAAAAGGGCAAACGTCATTATAGATTAATAATATTAACACGAGCTGATTGAATCATATCTGACAATGCAGCTGATAGTCATTTGAACTGAGCTGGCCACATCAGCCAGGATTTCACTTCACTCCATCTCCCAATCATTTTTAAACTTTATTTTTCTGATGCTATTAAGTAATTTTTTCTATGTTTCTACTTTCTAATTTCCACACATTAGGATCAATATGGATGGAATAATTACTTACAGCAAAGAAGTCAATTTGAATAACACCTTCGGTGAAAAAAATCTCCTTCTAGTGCTGATGCTGAGGTTATGTATTATATTTACAGATTTCCCAAGCAACAGATTTGTCAAATTATCTCTCTCAATCCCTCAAAGACAATCTTTTTGTGCAGTCCCTCTCGAATTGTGGGTCCTCAGGTGGCTGAACAGTCCAATTCTGGATCCACACACCTTGCCACAGGTGTTTGAAGAGATGGGTGGATGGATGCCTGGCTTTCTGCTTGCTCCCATTTGTCTTCATTCTTAGATTCTACTAGGGGCCTCTCAGAAATGCTTGGCATCTTTGCAGATGCTTCTTCTCCAGCTTGGGCGGTGAAAAAGTCCACAAGGGTCAATATCTGTCACCCTTTATTTACGCATGGAGACTCCCTTTATTTACACACCTTGACACTGATGCAGCTCCTTCAGAGCCAATTCTCAAGATGTCTCACACTCCTTATCTGTCAGCCAGAGGTCCCTGATTGGACCAGATTTACAGCCCCAATCAGTGAACTCATATTCTATGAGATCCACATGGCTGACCTCACTACAATCACGACACGTGGTTTTCAGCACAAGGCCCCCACAAGACATTGGGCATTTTATCAGGGATACTTTGAGGATATCTTTGAAGCATTTTCTCTGCCCTAATGGTAATCATTTGCTGTGACAGAGCTCAGAGTAGAAAACTCATTTTGGGAATCTTGTGCCAGGCTTGCAAACTCTGCAGCCCACCAAACACAGCTAACTGACACTAACCAGTGCCTCAGTACTAGAGATATTGGCCTGTGAGAGGACACTTATATTGGAGTACCTGGCTTGCCTTTGGATTTGCAGAGTTTTATGAAGACATCACTGGTGATATTTCTCGACAGATTTGAGTTGTCTGCCCTACATTTTCCATATTTCCAATGCATACAGAGAATAGGCAACACTATTGCCCTGAAGGCATTCAGTTTGGTGCCAGGTTTGAGGTTTTTGTCTTTGAATACTTTGTCCCTCAGTGTTTAAAAGTTTTGCTGGTGCATTAGAGGCAATTTCATATTTCATTACTAATGCCTACCCTCACTAAATGGTATGTGAATTGATTTCTCTTGTCCAGTGGCTCTGTTGTCATTGATTATTGGAGTACAGTGTTGCATGGAGGCTTGGTGGAGAATCTTTGTCTTCTGAATGTTTGGCCTAAAGTCCATTCTCTCATATGCCTCTTTTATGTGCTGAGAATGGTTTAGAGTTCAGCCTCTGAGTGTGCACACATGCAAGCATCATTGCAACTTGATGACAGAGGTTGGGATTCTCTTGGTTCTGCACTGAAGGTGATACAGGTTTCCTTGTTATCCTGTAGAGAAACTCCACTCCATCAGCAAGCTGCATGGAAATGGGGTGGAATGTTACAGCAAGGAAGATGGAGAAATGTATTGGTGCCATAACACAATCATACTCAACTCCAGTTAAATATATTGGGTCTGTGGATCATTCATTGGCGAAGCTCACAGCTTGCACGTTGTCATGCAGCAAGTGGAGAATAGTGACAAATTTCTCTGGGTATCCAAATTTGAAGAGAAAATTCAAACTTCTTCCTGTTTAACAGTATTGAAAGCCTTAGTGAGCTTGAGGAAGGGCCACGTATGAAGATTGCTGCTGTTCTGTGCATTTTTGTTGGAATTAGCTTGCCGTGAACATTATGTCCCCAATGCCTCTCAATGTAAGGACTCCATAACATGTCTCCAGTAAGAGCTCTTCAGCCATTGGGAAAAGGCAATTGAGGAGGAATTTTGCAATGACTTTCCTTATGGTGGGAGACACTTCTGCAATTTTTCCTACCTCCTTTCTTGAAGATATTCACTATTACCGTGTCATGTAGATCTGCTGACTACTTTTCCTCATTCTAGATAAGGGAGATATATGGTAAATGGAAAAGCCCTGGGGAAAATTGATGCACAGAGAGATCTCGGTGTTCAGGTCCATTGTACCCTGAGGGTGGCAACGCAGGTCGATAGATTGGTCAAGAAGGCATATGGCATGCTTTCATTCATTGGACGGGTCATGTTACAGTTGTATAGGACTTTAGTTCGACCACATTTGGAATACTGCGTACAGTACTGGTCGCCACATTACCAAAAGGATGTGGATGCTTTGGAGAGGGTACAGAGGAGGTTCACCAGGATGTTGCCTGGTATGGAGGGCGCTAGCTATGAAGAGAGGTTGAGTAGATTAGGATTATTTACATTAGAAAGACGGAGGTTGAGGGGGGACCTGATTGAGGTCTACAAAATCATGAGAGGTATAGACAGGGTGGATAGCAAGAAGCTTTTTCCCAGAGTGGGGGCCTCAATTACTAGGGGTCACGATTTCAGGATGAGAGGGGAAAAGTTTAAGGGAGATATGCGTGGAAAGTTCTTTACGCAGAGGGTGGTGAGTGCTTGGAACGTGTTGCCAGCGGAGGTAGTAGAGGAGGGCACGATAGCGTCATTTAAGATGAATCTAGACAGATACATGAATGGGCAGGGAGCAGAGGGATACAGATCCTTGGAAAATAGGTTTAGATAGAGGATCTAGATCGGCGCAGGCTTGGTGGGCTGAAGGGCCTGTTCCTGTGCCGTAACTTTCTTTGCTCTTTGTTCTTTGAGACGAGGCCTTGCAATCATTTTTACACTGTATTTCAGGATATCAGCAGGGATTCCATCTGTGCTGTGAGGCTTGTTGGTTCTTAGCTGTTAGATAGCCTGGAGTTGTGCTGAGGTGGTGGTGGGCAGCATGCTGTGCGATGCGGCACGCATCTCAAGGACGGAGTCTCAAAAAAATCACAGAATCGTTATGGTACAGAAAGAGCACATTCAGCCTATCATGGCTGCACCAGCCCTCTGTACATTTTGACCTTTTATTAAATTCCTGCCTTTTCACCATAACCCCATAGATTATTTCGCTTTAAATAATCATCAATGTTCTTTCGGATACCTCAATTAAGCCAGCCCCGACCACACTTCCAAGCAAACCCAAATTATTTGCTTTGTGAAGAGTGTTCTTTCTCACCTTGCATTTGTCTCTTTTGCAAAACACTTTAAAATTAAGTCTTCTGGTTATCAATCCTTTCACAAGTGGAAACAATTTCTCCCCATCTACTCTGTCCAGACTTCTACCTTGACTGTATCTAAACAATCACTAATGCAAGTAGCCCAATGTTCAATAGCCATTTCTCCTGACAACCTTTCATTCCAGCCTATCCTAGCCAGCTGAATTCTTACCCCATTGCAGTAGGCTTTCTGCCACTTGACTAATCTTACTCTGGATTGACCAACATCATTTTCCACTATCATCCTAAGCCTTATACTACAATGCTCACTGATTCCCAATATGCTCACTGTCATTTGACCGAGTTAGCCGACTTTATTCCATGAATCAGATTTGGCTGTGCCTCCTTTCTATCAAACTAAACAGAAGTAGAAAGATGGATGAACGCATGACTGGAAAGTTGCTGTAGGTGGGCTGCCTTCAGATGTCTGTGATGCTGGGATTGGCTCTGAGATCGCAGGCAACTGTATAAGCCAAATGGTTTTTATCTGAACTGAGCCAGGACTGAGGTCTTTGGAGGTTTTTTTTTGGCTAATTCTGTTGGAAAGTGTTTAAACTAACTCAGCAGGGGTGTAGGAACCAGGAGACGATATTAGAAAGTAATACCAGGTGCCAAAAATTCTGGGTGAGGCAGACAGCACTAGAATAGAGATAAATAAAAGAAATGTGGAGTTAGTGCTGCCAGAAAGGAATGTGTTCAAAGGATTCCCAAGTCATAGACCAGGTACCACAATCTCATAGATCTCTCTTCTAATTTTTCAAAAATTGCCTTTGCCAGTTGTGCAGCAATAATGAAGTTACCCTTAGATTTCCTTCCCATATGTTAACAAAATTTTGACCAGCTATCTTTGATACAATTAATTTCATGAGGAGGCTAAAGTAAAGTGATTTTTTCTGTTTTCTTCACTCTTCCACATATTGTTTCATCTTGTGGCCACAATCAAGTCTTAATACTGCTACCAGACTGTAAATTTCAATTTGTGTTATACTCGTAAAATAAACACACACAGCCCAAATTGTTTTTAAAAGTACCAAATTCAGCAATTTCATTTCTCACTACTAGACTAGAAATTGAAGC